ATCTGTCGGCTATAGAGCCGCGAGCTTTCGTCGGACTCACTTCACTCAGACATCTCAATATCTCCAACATTAACGTCGAGGTTCTCGAAGAGAATGTTTTCCTCCAAATGTCTTCATTGCAAACATTAATTTTCACTCGAAATAGAGTTAGGATTATAAAGAAGGGGGCGTTTAATGAATTGACTTCTTTGATATCACTTGACATTAGAGACAATGATTTGCACGTATTTCCTAAAGATGTGTTTCACGCCCTCAAGTCTTTACGATTTCTGTCAACTGATAACTTCAAGTTTTGCTGTTTAGCCGCCAATATTGTACCATTTGAAAGGTCTGCACATTTGTTATTAAAATTGTTTAATGGATTTTATATTAAACTTTTTATTAATATTTGCATTGAAAATAAGATGCCTTCCGCCACAGGACGAGATCTCCGATTGCGAAGATTTAATGTCTAATTTAGTTCAACGAGTAATTCTGTGGTTTTTAGGAGTGGTGGCACTCGTGGCCAACGCTGCTGTCATTATATGGAGGTTTCAGNAGGTTTCAGACACGTCTCTATTCAAACCCAGTCAGCTCTACACTTATCCTATCGTTGGGTTGCGCCGACTTCCTAATGGGTATCTACTTAATGATCATCGCATCGGTCGATGAATTCTATAGGTATTTAATGAATTCCTTAATTAACGGCCAATTATTAGTCTTTTTATTTCAGGGGACGATATATAGAGAATTCTGATGTTTGGAAACACAGTATTTTGTGCCAATTTTGTGGATTCCTGTCCACAGTCTCATCGGAAGTATCGGTGGCCACACTTGTCTTCATAACAGTGGACCGATTTATTTGCATTTCTTTTCCATTTTCAATGCGAAAATATACCATGAGTTTAACATATAGGTAAATTGAATTGCAGTTTGTATATTGGTTAAACCCTTTAATCCACATTAGGCTCATCACTTTATCGTGGATTGTTGTGATAATGTTAGCGGGTTTGCCATTATTCCCGATACCATATTTTAACGGCAAATTCTACGCCCGCTCGGGAACCTGTTTAGCCCTTCACATCACACCTCATAAACCCGACGGTTGGGAGTATTCGGTCGCTATATTTTTGTGCATTAATTTAGTGGCATTTCTTATAATCGTTGGCTGCTATTTGTTTATGTATAAAACCATACGTTTGTCCCGACAGAAAATGAACAGACTTAAGGCCAGACAAGTCAGGGAAACACAGGTTAGAACACAATTGTATTTGAAATGGTGTCCATTTGACAATAACTACAATGTATCAATAAATTCATATGTTATTTATACAGTAAATGTAAACATTTATTCTCTACTAGTAATCAATTTTGAATGTATAGGTTGGCCGACAAATGGCACTTATAGTTATAACCAATTTTTTATGTTGGTTTCCAGTGATTGTGATGGGAATGATGTCTTTGGCCGGATTTACGATTCCAGGTATTTATTCATAACAAAAATAATCATTTACCATAATTACAAAAATACTAAAATATAGTGTTTGATAAAATGATTGTAATATGAAGGGGCGGCCTATTCGTGGACGGCTGTATTTGTTTTCCCAGTAAACTCGGCGACGAACCCAATCATCTATAGTTTAGCTCAATCTCCGATCTCTTTGTTCACATTTAAGTCAAAACGCGATTCAACCAATAAATCACTTCATATGTCACTCAAGCAAAAGGGAAAGGCTGTCGAAAGGAGTATTAGTGCTCCGAAAGGCAAATTCATGAGACCATACCCTCCGCCCGGATATGTCTCTCTCATTGATTTCTTAGATACTGAAGAAGATCTTAAACCAAAGCATTTACTGGAAATTAGTTATTCAATCAGTGAAATCATTAAAGATGCTCACGAAAGGGGGTCCGCTTTTGGAGGCATTGAATTTGAATCGGTTTGTGTGTCTAATCAGGTAAGTGTTGATTATAAGGGTTACTACTATTTAATAATTGCTGTAATCACCGACTGTTAGATATCGTTAGATAATAGCAATCGGTTGCGCGTATATATACCCGACTTAAACCAATACCCTGTGGTGGACGCCGAAGAATCAGACGACTTTGCTTTCGATATGGAAGAGTTCGGTAATCTTGTTAAACGTATGCTTCGTATATATCATATCAGAATCAATTCCTCGCCTTATATTAACGGTAATAAAACGAGTGAAGACGACAACTCATGCG